CATTCAAACCATGATTGTCTACGTACCCAAAACTCGGGATCAAGCCTCCGTAGTTCACCTCCACCTTCATATACTCTCCACCTCATTTCAACCCCACCCCGAAAGGCCATGCCCTCTCGGGCATATCAACACGGACTAATGTGAAGCAAGTTAAAGCAATGTTGAAACTTGCTACCCGTTACCACTTTGGTTAACATGTCAGCTGGGTTCTCATTTGTGTGTACCTTCAAGAGTGAAATATCACTTTCCTCTATAACATCATGCACAAAATGATACTTGACGTCAATATCCTTAGTTCGAGCATGATGAACCTGATTCTTAGCCAAGACTCTGGCTATCACACCACAAGTCCACACAATCCTGCTCAATCCCCAAATCATCTAGAAGACCCCGTAACCACAATGCTTCCTTCACTCCCTCTGCTATGGCCATATACTCGGCCTCTGTAGTAGAAAGAGCAACTGTAGCTTGTAACATCGATCGCCAACTAACTGGGGCACCATGTATGCAGAACACATATCCAGTAGTAGATCGTCGTCTATCTAGATCACCTGCATAATCCGAGTCCACAAACCCACTTATATGACATGCATCTCCACCAAAACATAAACCCGTATCCGCGGTACCTTTTAAGTACCTCAAGATCCACTTCACAGCTTCCCAGTGTGCCTTCCCCGGATTCGCCATGAATCTACTGACCACACTCACCGTCTGTGAAATATCTGGGCGTGTACACACCATGGTATACATCAAACTGCCAACTGCACTAGTATAAAGCACACGATCCATGCGTACCTTTTCTTCCGCTGTAGTAGGAGACTGTTTACCAGAAATGGAGTTACCACCGACTTTGCACCTTGCAACCCGAACCTAGCAATAACCCGCTCAATGTAGCCTTTCTGACTCAAGAACATTCGCCGGTTCGTCTTCTCTCTTCTAATCTCCATACCCAGTATTTTGCTAGCAGCCCCCATATCCTTTATCTCAAACTCTTTACCAAGTTGAGATTTCACCTTATCTATCTCCACGTTGCTTTTTGAAGTGATAAGCATGTCATTCACATACAGAAGAAGATAGATATAGTTACCTCCCCGAAGTTTCCGAATATAAACACAACAGTCATACTCACTTCTGGAGAAACCATGCTTTAGCATGAAGGAGTCAAATCGCTTGTACCACTGCCGAGGAGATTGCTTCAATCCATATAGTGATTTTCTCAAGCGACATACCTGACGTTCCTTATCCTCAACTTTGTAGCCCTCAGGTTGATGCATATAGATCTCCTCATCCAAATCTCCGTGCAAAAAGGCGGTTTTGACATCGAGTTGTTCCAGCTCAAGATCATGATGAGCAACAATACTCAATAGCACCCGAATGGAAGTGTGCTTGACCACCGGAGAAAAGATCTCATTATAGTCAACTCCCTCTCTTTGTGCAAACCCCTTTGCCACTAACCTCGCTTTGAATCTTGTACCACCGAACTTGGTAGGATCCTCCTTCTTTTTATACAACCACTTGCAACCAATAGCTTTCTTACCTATGGGCAATGGGACAACCTCCCATGTTTGGTTCTTGTGAAGTGATTTTATCCAACTCTCGCTATTGTTATTTAAAATAGCTTCCTTAAAAGTGGTAGGCTCATCATCCTCCACCGAGAGTGCATACTCAACCAAATTTGTTGCCCATAGTGCCTCAAAGGCTCGTCTGACCCCAACTTTAGGACTTGCTTGTAAGTACGGCGTGGCCTAGAGGAAGCCAAGTTATCTGCAAGCTGCTGCTGTTGCTGTGCCTGTACATTCTCTTGCTGAATCGCCTCTTGTTCAAGCCCATCATCACTCTCATCTTGAGTGTCTGTTTGATACTCTTCTTGAACATGCCTAGAATCAGGTTGATCTCTAGGTTCTATGTCAACAACTTGAGACATTGTAGTCTCAACATCATCACCACCGGGCACTGTAGCTTTCAACGAATCTATCATGGAGTTCTCATCAAAAGTAACATCTCTGCTGATTATGAACTTAGAATCCTCTACATACCAAATGCGATAGCCTTTAACACCTGCTGCATACCCCAAGAATATAGCCTTCTTGGCCCTCGCATCGAGCTTTCCCTCGTTGACATGATAGTAGGCTGTGCATCCGAATATTCTGAGTTTCTCATAATCTGCATGTTCTCCTGTCAATACCCTATAAGGTACATCTCCATCTAACCTTGAATGTGGAGACCGGTTCACTATGTAGCAAGCATTTGCAACCGACTCTGCCCACCATTCTCTGCCCAAACCAGCATAGGATCACATACACATCGATTTCTCTCGAAATGTGCGATTCAGCCTTTCCGCGACCCCATTCTGTTGCGGTGTATTTCTTACTGTCCAGTGTCTCACAATGCCTTCCTTACCATAGAACTCCTTGAAAGCACCATCTGTATACTCGGTATGGTTATCAGATCTCAGTGTCTTCAATTTCTTTCCTGTTTTGTTTTCAACCATTGCTTTCCACTTCTTGAAAGTGTCGAATACCTCATTCTTATGCTTCAAAAAATAAATCCAAGCATATCTAGAATAATCATCAACAAATGTAACAAAATACTTGAAGCCGCCTTTGGAAGTGACAGAAGCTGGACCCCATACATCCGTGTTCACATAGTCAAGAATGCCTCTGCTTTTATGTTTGCTTGGCTGGAACTGAACTCGGTGTGCTTTACCGTACACGCAATGCTCGCAAAAATCCATGCAAGGCTTCTTCAAGTTCTTTAGCAAACCTTTCTTGACTAGCAAATCAAGCCCCTTTTCAGACACATGCCCAAGCCTCCTATGCCATAGCCGAGTGCACTCACATGGGTCTCCACCACTTCCACTTGTTCCAACTGCTACATCTTCAGTAACTGTAGTACTCTGAAGAGCATAGAGATTGCCTTCACGAATACCCTTCATCACAATCAAAGAACCACGAACAACCTTTTTTACTTCATTCCATGTTACAATCTTGCAACCACCGGAGTCTAAGGCACCAACAGAGATAAGGCTCTTTCGCAAATCAGGAACATGTCTAACATCTATCAATGTTCTAACCACTCCATCATGCATCTTGATTCTAATTGAACCAAGCCCCACCGTTTTACATGAATGGTTATTACCCATCAACACGGTTCCACCATCAGTGCTTCTATAGGTAGTAAACCACTTCCTATTTGGACACATATGGTAAGAGCGTCCAGAGTCAAGAATCCACTTATCGGAGGTTTCTTCATCACAAGAGATGGTGTAGCACTCATCGCTTTCCGCTCCTTCCGAGGCATAGCTTACCTCTTGCTTGACTTGCACCTTCCCATTGTTGTTGTTCTTATTGTTCTTCTTCCAACCCTTTTTGTTTGGACAATTCACCTTGAAATGCCCAAGCTCGCCGCATTTGAAACAAGACCTTTCCGCAAGAGGTCTAGAACTCGATCTAGATTTTTCTCCCTTGCCCTTTGGTCGCACATTGCTTCTACCCCTTACAAACAATCCTTGAGCTTGCTCCTTGTTACCAATGGTAGACATGCCACTAGTTGCAATCTTTCGAAGATCATCCGCTAGAAGTGACGTTCTAGTGTCCTCCATCACAAGTTTATCACCCACAATCATCAATGTTTGTACTAGGTTCTCGTAAGACTTTGGCAATGAAAGAAGTAGTAGAAGTGTTTGATCCTCATCATCTACATCCACATCAATGTCCTTCAAGTCCGATATGATCCTATCAAACTTGTTGATGTACTCCCGAATTGGTGTACCTTGATCCATCTTGCAAGTATACAATTTGGATTTCAAATAGATCCGATTTGTTAGAGTCTTCGTCATGAAGTTCGCCTCCAACTTTGTCCACACCTTCGCCGCCGTTACCTCACTATCAACCAAGAAAGCAACATCTCTTTCAAGGCAAAGAATGATAGACGCTAGTGCCTCTAGATCTAGCTCTTTCCAATCCTCGTCCGACATATCAACGTGCTTCTTCTCCTTTCCCGCCAATGCCTTGTGCAACTTTTGAGAAATCAACAAATTTTTCATTTGCATTCTCCAATATGAAAAATCATTCTTCCCATTGAATTTCTCTATCTCATACTTCCCAATCTTCACCATTCCTCTAGTAGACATGATTTATCCACTTGTTTACCAAAATTAAATCACCAAAGTTCACTTGAAAATTTTCACAAACACCTTATGCACAACAAAGTTCAAGCAACTCACCACAAAATCGAAGTTTAACCACCTTGATTTAGGAAGAAGCTCTGATACCAAATTTTTTTGAGGAAGAAATGATTTCAAAGGAATATATGAAGATCAATGTATTTGGATTATTTGAACAAGTCTCAAGTTAATCCCCAAGAAAGAAAATAACTTTGAATTTATACCCAAGATGAACAACTTTCAATCTTGTAAAATTCTCTCCAAGTTTTCTCTCTTTTCTTCTCTCAAAACCGGGCTCTAGGTCTTGTATTATTATGAGAAGGAAGAAAATTGGCTATATATATATAGCCTATCGGGGCGCATAGGTGCCCAAGAGTGGCGCCTAGGCGCCGTCTTTCTGTATGGTTCTGCACTCGGGGCGCCTAGGCGCCACTCTAGGCACCCACAGATGGCACCTAGGCGCTCTTCCCCTTCAACTCCTTCTCTTCTCACAGAACACGTTCAATGAACTTGATAAAAAATATGATTACGTTATATAAATTTATTCATGTTTTTAGTAGCTAAATACTCGGGGAAAAAAAATCCCAAAATGAGTAGTAATTGGTTAAGCAAGAATAACTCGGAGCAATAAGGTGAGGTGGGCACATCACCTTTTGTCCAATTTAAATTTTAAAATTCAAGAAATGGACAGATTCCAGATCACAAGACAAGACCAGAAAACTTATGATAATAATATCTGCATTTTGGCTGTAATTTGGTTGTCATTTACTATTGAATAAATCTATTTGTACAACACTTTCAAAAATGTTGTAGTTGTAAAAAAAAAAAAAAAAGTGTTGGTGGAAAGAGATGAATTATTTTTAAAATTGTCCAATAATAGTGTCGAGCAACATGTTCACAGCAAAATTGTCAAAATCATTATGCACTGAGCATGATTCGTTATTGTTTATCACTTGACACCGACAGTATGGTGAATCTTGGAAGCTCACGAAGCAGCCTCAAGAAGTTTAATTTTAAAAAAATGTCAAAATACAGATACTTTTTTGTGTTTGACTTGGGCACTTGATCTCATCTGAAATTAATTTTCTTACACGTTAAAGATTGATTAAGATTCGTTAATTGTTTTTTTCCTTTTTTTTTTTTTCAAACCAAAACAGGTCTGAACCTTCCATTTGCCAGACCTCTGAGGACTCTGACAGTGGAAGCCTGTATAATTGCATTCTTGTGCTTCTTTATTAGCATAATCTCTCTCTATACTTTTGACTTGTACATTGATGACCAACTCTCATTGCTCAGTTTCATCTGAATTTGTGGAGTCAGTGCCATTCTTTTTCTGTTTGAGATCCAGAATTCATTGAAAACTAAAAGAGTCTTTAAAATAGATGGACTTGGCCTGATAGTGCACAAATCTGTCAATCCCTTGTTTCTTTTCCAAGATTTTTGATCTGAGTTTTCTTTAATCATATCATATTTTCATGAAAATGACACCAAATTCTGTAGTGATTACACTTGAGAAGCCTGAAAATGTTTCTTTAATTGAAGCAAATGATTCCCGAAGGGAACTAATTTTCCAGGAGAAACAAAAGGCTGCGAGTCCCAAGCAATTCACTTGGGTTCTTCTTCTCAAAGCACACAGGATTGTGTCTTGTATTCCATGGCTGGCAATGAGCTTGTGTACAATTTTCGGTTCGATCAAGAAACGAATTGCCACTTCTTCGGATGCGAGGGAAGAAGATCCCACATACAGAGGGAAGAAAATATACAGGTTTCTAAAAGCATTTCTTGCTATTTCAATTGTAGCTTTGATTATTGAACTCATTGCTTATTTCAAGAACTGGGATTTGAGTTTGGTTCATAATCCATGGGAGGTTCAGAATAATCTTGTGCAGTGGTCTTATATGGCTTGGCTTTCTTTTAGAGTTGGTTACATTGCTCCTTTGATAATGACACTTTCCAAATCTTGCATTGTACTCTTCATGATTCAATCACTGGATCGCCTTGTGCAATGTTTGGGTTGTTTCTGGATTAAGTACAAGAAGTTGAAGCCATCGATTGAAGGGGAACCTTATGACATTGAAGATGGATCGAGTTATCCCATGGTTCTTGTTCAGATTCCAATGTGCAATGAAAGAGAGGTAATAAAAGAATGTTATGCATCTTTTTTTGAAGATCCCTTTGCTGCAAATTATGTATATATACTATATATTTTGACTTATAATTCTTTAAATTATTTTGGCGTAGTGTCTAATTATGTGTGATTATTGTCAGTAAAGTGAAAAAATTTCCATTGCGAGTTAACCAGATGGAAAGAGGATAATTGAGTAGCTAAAAGGTTATTGCCTTTTTAATACGTTTGATGGTCAGTTCTTCAAGTTCACGTGCTATTCAAAATCGTTCTCAGGATTGATTGAGTTTTTGTGATTATGAAACATATCTGCCTAATTTACTAGATTGTTTATTGTATTGAATGAAAATTATGTGGAATTTCAGGTATACGAACAATCAATTGCTGCAGTTTGCCAGCTCGATTGGCCTAAGGATCGGTTTTTAGTTCAAGTTTTAGATGACTCGGATGACGAAGTTGTAAAGAATTTGATAAGGGATGAATGCTTGTCGTGGAAAGGGAAAGGGGTGAACATAATCTACAGACATCGGTTAATCAGAACAGGATACAAAGCAGGCAATCTTAAATCAGCCATGGCTTGTGACTATGTCAAAGAATATGAATTCGTTGCAATATTTGATGCAGACTTCCAACCAAATCCGGATTTCCTTAAATTGTCAATTCCTCATTTTAAGGTAATAATTTAAAAAACTACCTAACTGTGTGCCTTAGTTACTATTGCTCGACAAAGTTTTAAGAACCTCATTTCTCGTTTCAGAACAATCCTGAAATAGGCCTTGTCCAGACTCGCTGGTCGTTTGTAAATAAGGATGAAAATTTACTTACCAGACTCCAGAACATCAATCTCTGCTTCCATTTTGAAGTTGAGCAGCAAGTAAATGGCGTTTTCCTCAATTTCTTCGGGTTCAATGGAACAGCCGGTGTCTGGAGGATTAAAGCCTTGGAGGATTCAGGTGGTTGGCTTGAGAGGACTACGGTTGAGGACATGGATATAGCTGTTCGTGCCCACTTGAAGGGGTGGAAATTTATCTACCTCAATGATGTGAAAGTTCTTTGCGAATTACCAGAATCATATGAAGCATATAAGAAGCAACAACATCGTTGGCATTCTGGCCCTATGCAGCTCTTCAGACTATGCCTCCCGGACATTATATCCTCCAAAGTATATTATTTTCATTAACTTTTGCTTATTTGTTAAAGTGGACTGAATAATACTAATTATTTTTCCCTTCTATGATGTTATTTCTGCAGATATCAGTTTGGAAAAAGGCCAACTTGATATTCCTTTTCTTTCTCCTAAGGAAACTGATACTTCCCTTTTACTCATTTACTTTATTTTGTATCATACTTCCATTGACAATGTTCATACCGGAGGCTGAGTTACCAGCTTGGGTGATCTGTTACGTCCCCATTGTCATGTCCATTCTGAACATTTTACCGGCACCTAAGTCCTTCCCCTTTCTGATGCCATATTTGCTCTTCGAGAACACAATGTCGGTGACGAAATTTAATGCAATGGTATCCGGGCTATTTCAGCTAGGAAGTGCCTACGAATGGGTAGTCACGAAGAAAACAGGCAGAGCATCAGAATCAGACTTGCTAAGCCTTTCTGAGAGGGAACACAAAATGCTGAATGAAGAGAAAATTCAGAGGCGGCTTTCTGAATCAGGTCTAGAAATGCTCGGCAAGTTAAAAGAGCAAAGTGAAAAGGTCCATACTGTAAAGAAGAAAAACAGGATTTACAAACCGGAACTTGCACTTGCATTTCTTCTACTCACTGCAGCTACAAGAAGTCTGTTATCAGCACACGGAATTCATTTCTATTACTTGCTGTTTCAGGGGTTGTCCTTCCTTGTAGTAGGCTTAGATTTAATTGGGGAGCAAGTGAGCTGAGATATATGCTCAATGGTAATTATTAATTTCTCGATTCAAGTTTGATGTTTTTGAACATGTACTTGAGTTCAAAAAAGGGAAAAAAGACGGAAAAAAAGAAGAAGATTAATTTCCAGTTATATTATGAACTGGAGTTTATCAGAGATAATCACAGGCAAGACTCAAGAATTGAGAAGTAGAATAATAGGATTGATTCTTTCATTGTATAATTACCTGAACCATCAGTGTTTCAAATAATGAATATAGTATTGAATATAAATGAGTCATGGCAAATATTTTGATATCTATTTCAGCAACTTGTTCTTTTTCCCTGTTTGCATTCATATGCTAAATGATTTAGTCACATTTGTAAATAAGATTGATTATTAGTCCTGTTACCTGTATATCACATTGAAATGTGTTGCTCTACACCAGCAAGAAAGACGAAACACCACATTGGTAACGACGACGGTGCTAGTTCGGTTACACACACTGATGAAAATAGAAAATCCAAGCTTAAATGACTGTGCTTGTATCATGTGGGTTTGGAAATTTATCTCGATTCAGCATATAAATCTGCAGGTTATGTTTCATTGATCCAGCGAGACTGGAATTTTATTAGACGACCAAGATTTTACGACTCTGTATATATACCAGAATTCTGTACTTGAATCAATATTAAGTAGCACAGCCAAAATATGTGCTCCTTTTGGCCTTTGATATAATAGATTGTGTACATATACTGGAACTTTACATGATTCTTAACTTCAGTTCTATGCATAAACATCGTTTGTGTTTGTAGGTTTCATCAGCGTGGGACAAGGATATCCTATACGAGGTTGTATTTCTTGAACTTTTATTCGATTGAGTTCTTGAATCTCTATCAAAATGAAGATGTTACATGTACTTGCACGCAAGGGCGCTGCTGAATTTTATCTATTAAAAGTATTGGCACAAAATTTTCTAGCAATGACTAGAAAATAAAGATAAATATCGTCTTCATAGAGATGTCAAAATGTGTTGGACTGTCTAGACCTTCGCAGCCCTACACGTGAAAACCCAACTCAAGTATGGTCCATGTTATATATCCTTGTGCCCTAGACTGGTGACACAATCATCCATCATTTTCTTAAAATGATGTCAGTATCATGACATAATTTTGAAGAACTTTGTCCTTCAAATGCAACTTTTGATTTAGGTACTAGGATAGATCCCGTTTCCCTTGTAGGTTCCTTCACCACATGTACTCAAACAATGTTAGCACATATTGTATCACGACCGCAAAAAGAAGAAACGAAAGAGTGCATATTGTTTCATTGTTAACATCGCCAGGCCAGCATACTGCCTTATGGACTAGTCACTTCCTGCCGCTTGGTGTCATTGTTACAGTAATTTCTATCGAAACTATCTAAGAATTAACTTTGGTACATTTCTATGATGTAATGACAATATTGATACTGAAGAAATCCTATATATATATATGTCGAGGAACAAACTCCACAGTATCACCTTAACTTTAACAATTTAGGCACTCACAGTACTTCACTTTGTGAAAAATGGCAGTCAATAGAGTTGCCACTTTGACTATGATCTGGTTATCTTTTGCAGCATTGGCAGTGAGTACACAAACGTGGGCCCCGACCCCAAGCCTGAATCCAGGCGATGCACAGGGACTGCTTCATTCCACACTACGATGTTTGGATTTGTTGCTGCTGTCGTTTCATTCTTCGCCATAAAAAGGATGATTTGAGCTTCCCGTTTAGTATTGTACATGATCGACTTCAATAACTGGAATATACATGATTACTTATTCATGTTTCTCTTGCAAGAAATGAACACTTGTGTCATGTTAAGATTAAAGCATTCAAGAACCACGAAGTTCGATCAGTCATAAGTCATATTTCAGTTAGAATTTTAATTTTTCTTTCTATCTTAATATTGTCTAGTTCTTTTGTCGAACATATCTATCGTACTATTCGCATACTACTAAATAATTTGTGGTTGATAGCTGGATCAAATCAAAAATTAGAAATTATCAAAGAGATAATAAAAGCAATGGGACCAGATTGCACATGCTATACATGCCAACCATACTAATTTTTCCGGCTTTTAGTCCAAAACAGTTGTACATTTTGGGTGTTTTCTCTGTCACAATATCAGCTTAACAAGATTTTTGGTACTCCTCACAGTTAAGATAACAAAATAAAAATGTTTAGAAGATGTAATTGTTTAGTGGATCATAATGCAACACATGGTAACATCATAATGCAACACATGGTAACACTGTAACCTAAAATGGCCTGATAAAGAAAACTCATGAAGAATTCCCCTATGACATATTTGAGTTCCACACAGAGTAAAAAATCGCTCGATTCATGTAGAGTTCAATCCCTTAGTTCTATATTTAGAAAATAATCGAAATGTAATTACAAATTCAACTCAAAAGGAATTGAACCTATGAAGTCAATTACGAGTAGTTATAATCATCGCATGTTTAAGTGATTGTGAATGTCCTGATTCATTGTCTAATGTCCCCTAAACTAGTGATTATCACCACTAATTTTAACATGAAAGCTTAACCGACATCGTCAATTTGGATGAAAATGAAATCTTCAATATAAAAAAAATGAGATTTAGGAGGAATTTATGAAAGAATTCAAATCCTTCTTTTCCTTCTTAAAATTTTATTCCTCTAACCAAACACTCACATAACTCCATGTGCCTCCAAATCCCAAATCGTTGGATTATGACCTTCTTCCCGAATTCCCCCATCCCTAAAGAGAGATGGTTGGTGTACAAGGTAGGTTCACAAGCTACATGACAATTTTGCATCAAAAGATAATTAAAAGAAAATGGTTTTTACCATATGTACAGAAAAAGTGGTTCTCCATGGACCCATCTCGTGTGAGTAAAATATTGGTGGGTCCCATATCATTAAAATATTGTCAAAATAATACCTACTCTCCACACTATAGTGATTTTTGAATATTTTTATATTCGGGAGAGATTTGTCTCTGTACGTGTAGTGTCTCTATAAAGGACCAAATAGGCACCTCACCTTTAAATACAAAAGCAATGATTCACGTATAGAATAGACACCTTACAGGATACGTACAATATTGGGTGGGTGAGTTATTTTTTGAATTATTTTACTCACATATCTGAGAATTCTTCTGTCAATAAAAATTTTCTTAAATACAATGGGAATTGTTCATCCCTAAAATGAGTAAATCCCTAAAATCAAGAGCTAACCGACACATAACAGCAGCGACGCGCCCCTGTTTTTTGCACTCATCAGTCATTAGTGGCATAGACAGCGGCGCGTCTTCTTCACACACTGACCAACCCATGTACATTTCACCGTAGTGCGCGTCACAAGCTCAAAATTAATGCTTTCATCGACCACAGTAAAACTCGCCCTTCTTAAACTCCGCTTTCATCGACCACAGCGGCGCGTCTTCTTCACACACTGACCAACCCATGTACATTTCACCGTAGTGCGCGTCACAAGCTCAAAATTAATGCTTTCATCGACCACAGTAAAACTCGCCCTTCTTAAACTCCACTTCCCCACTCCATTCTCTCTCTGCAACTCCATTTTTCTAAAAGATTTTAGACAGAGGAAAAGCAGAGACTAATCTGACAAATTATGGTTTTGAAATTACTCTTTTTGGTATCACTTATATTGCTATTTTCTACCGCCGCACATTCCCAGCTGCAGCCCATCTTAAGCACGAACTATTACCAGAAAAAATGCCCAAGATTTGAGCAAATAATGCAAGACACCACCACAAACAAGCAGATCGCTTCCCCGACAACAGCCGCCGCTACCCTCCGCCTCTTCTTCCATGACTGCTTCATGGGTGGCTGCGACGCCTCCGTCCTCATCTCTTCCACCCCCTTCAACAAAGCCGAGCGCGATGCCGACATCAACCTCTCCCTCCCCGGAGACGGCTTCGACGTGGTGGTCCGAGCTAAGGCCGCCATTGAACTCGCCTGCCCCGGCGTCGTCTCCTGCGCCGACATTCTCGCCTTCGCAACCCGAAATCTAGTCCTAATGATGGGCGGCCCGTATTACTCCGTCAAACTAGGCCGCAAGGATTCTCTTATTTCGAAAGCTTCCTATGTGGAAGGGAATTTACCAAGACCCACAATGCCGATGAATCAAATAATCCAGATTTTCACATCCAGAGGATTTTCCATTCAAGAAATAGTGGCTTTATCAGGAGCCCACACCATTGGATTTTCACACTGCAAAGAATTCAGCTCCATTCTATACAACTACAGCAGAAATGGTCAATCTGACCAATCTTACAACCCCAGATTTGCTCAGGCACTGAGAAATGCTTGTGCAGATTACAATAAAAACCCAACACTTTCAGTATTCAACGACGTAATGAGTCCGAATAAATTCGACAATATGTATTACCAGAACTTGCAGAAAGGTTTGGGGATTCTTTCGTCGGACCACGCATTGAATTCGGATCCAAGAACTAAAGGGTACGTGGAACTGTATGCTAAGAATCAGAATGCATTTTTTGTGGCATTCGCAAGAGCAATGGAGAAGTTGAGCGTGTACGGGGTCAAGACTGGAAGAAGGGGTGAGATCAGGCGGAGATGTGACGCTTTTAATAACTGATGAATTTTTATATTTCTATTATTATTCTCCTTTTAATTACATTGTTGTAACAATCTCATAATTCATAAAACATTATGTCTGAACATACATTTTAGCATATGATCGGAGATTAGGCGAAGAACAATCACTATTATCTTTGTTTGAGTGAAATCGTTCCCTTGGGGTATTTGTTCAACCAAGTTTAAAGTTCGATATCAAAAAGCAAGATGGGTTAATTGTCAAGCAAAAAAGTGATTATTCTGGAAGACAACATATGTTAAAAGTATTGTCGATTTTCAGAATTTTCGTATATGTTAAAAGTAATATTTATGTAGCGGATGAGTGTTGAGTGGACATTTGTGATTGAATTTTAGCGCCTCCAACTTTTTAAGTGACGGGACATTGTGGAGTGTTAACGCTTGAACGTCAAGGGATTGTGGAGAATTAGATGCCATTTATTTTATTTTATTTTTTATTTTTATTTTTATTTTTTTGTACTTTTATAATATTATGGTCCTGTTTGGGAGGGATTTTGAAATTTTTTGACCGTTATAAGAAAAGTGGAGTCCACTTGTGTAGAAGAAGTAAAAAATTACGACTGAAATTATGAAATAAAGATCAAAAAATCAATTTTTTGAGTTAAAAAATCCCTCCTAAACAGGCTTTATAGATTAACTATACCGACATATTTTAACTATACCGAAAATAAATGCTGTACACACAGCTTCTTTCATATAATGGACATGACCCCTTAAAAGGGGGTAATGTGCCAATTGCAAATGAGTTGGCATGCACAAATTATTGTGGTAGACGCGTGGAAACAATAAACAATAACATATATTGCTTAGATAGTTGAATCTTCAAATTGTTGATGGAAGATCAATTTTTGAGGAAATATCTCCACATTTATTCAATATTTAAAAAAAAAAAATTGAAAACGAAATCTCAGGGATAAGTTTGGTGTCTCTTACAAAAATTAGTTAATAGCATATTTAGTTACTTATGATGGTTTCTATCCAAATATTAAGATTGCAATCTTGAAATGAGAAATAATATTGTCAAAATTTTGTATTTTTTTTTGGTTAATTTGTGTGTCTGTGTTGGTCAAAAAATAAAGAAAAAATTTAATTTATGTGTAACATTATATATAATTTTTAAAAATTTTTTTTTTCAACCATACGTTTTCTAATAAAATAATATTATATATAAATTAAATATATATATTTTTAATTTTTTAACCATAAATTCTCCATCAATCTACTATCAAAAATCATTTTTTTTTCCCCAAAATGTATCTCAAACAAAGGGCAAGTAATAACTAGCGGTGTCAAAAAGGACACGGCTCAAACTTGAGGACAACTTAACTCGTTGCATAATTGTGTACTAAAATCAGCCTAGCTCAGCTAGGTCGATATAGGTTGGTCAGCCATAATAAGTGGATTGACCCACAACATTAACTCTTACATAGGCCACTTAGGTCACAAGGTTAAAGGAAGTTCAAGATACTTATTTATATAGATAATGAGGAGAAGAAAATTTTAATTACATTGCTTAGCATTTTCTTACCATCAATAAAACAAGACAAAGAAATAACCAAATAAAAACCCGAGACATGAAAAACACACCCAGGTTGTAAAATTCACACATAATTAGAACCTTCGATCCCCACGAAAAGAAAAAGAAGAATAAAAACGGAAAAATTTCCTCCAAAAGGAAAAGGAGATTCTCATACTCAATAAGTCAAAAGTCAGCATGAATTAGACGCACCGCCACCACCGAGAAGACACCGAGTTCGACTCAGATCATCCTCCGATTCCAGCAACTTCTCCCAATCTATTTCCTCTTCTTCCTCCTTCCTTCTCAACGCCTCCAGTATCCTCCTTGCCTTCTGCTTTATATGCTCATTTCCAGTGTTCACCACCTTTTCGAGCGTTTCCTCCGCCCCGGCTTCCTTTGCCAAACCCTTGAACCTAAGCCCTCCATAGCTCAGCCCATTCAACGCGGCTAAGCAGCTATCTCGAGTCGCCACCGAGTCAAACTCGTCGTGGCACAGCATATTCACGAAACACTCTACTGCACCCCCATCCAGCATTGCAGCTCTTCCCTCCACACTGGTGGCCAGACTACAGAGAATTAAAAGAACCCGACCCATCATGTGGCCCGATTTCACCATGCCCAACAAAATCTGAACTGACCCGAGTTTGATCATTTTAACCTGATTGCTCTGTACTAACGAAAGATGGTATAAAGCCAGTGCCGAGTCATGCCTAATGCGCTCCGACTCAGACCGGAGTGACTGAAGAAGCGGTGGCAACGCTCCTAAAACACCAATAGCAGTCTTGTTGTGATCATCAAGAGCTAAACTGAAGAGTGCACCAGCGGCATGGTCCTGCGATTCAGGGAATCCTCCCCTCAAAACCTCGATCAATAATGGAACAATCCCTGAACGTAAGATCTTCACCTTGTTTTGCTTCTCTAATGACAGGTTCACCAATGCTGCCACAGCATTCACTTGTAGAGACGAGTATCTCGAGCTGATTAGCGATTTAATGGCTGAGAGTAGTCGTGGAGTGCAGAGAATGACCCGCATTTCTTCTTTTGTTCGAGTCAGTTTCCTAAGCGAAATCAGACCCTCTTCTTGTTCAAGAACCTGTGAACTCTTCAGCTTAATTATGAATTCTTCCTCTTCTAAAGAATTTAAGGCTTCAACTTCAGATGACGAGGAAGATGAATAACAGGAGGGACGGGTAGTTATAGCTAGAACAGTACTTGTATGAACATTTCTAGGAGTAACTGATTCCTCAGAACTCGTTATGGACAACTGACTAGCTGTCCGTGTCAACTCATCAGTAGACAACTGAAACTTATTAATCGAATTTTTCGAAGTAGGAATCAACTTATGTACAAGTTCTTCAGCAATGTAATAGTCGATGGGCTTAGGGGGGTCGATAAAGTGATCACGACACCAATTCAGAATTGTCGATTTCAAAGCAAGGTTTGGAATAACAGTAGAGAAATCAGGTTTTGACCCATCGAACATAGTAGGTTTAAACGAAAGAGAAACACATGCTCGGACGCAGTTGCGTTCGAAAGTATGACCGGACGAGACTACAACAGGATCCGCCATTAACGAGCCTGAAATAGGACACAGAAACTCTTTCGGAGGAGGAGATTGCTTTTTGAGAAACAGTAGAGTTGATCGTGACTTGTGAAAGGAAATCTTCCACCTTTGTTTTCCACTACCCATGATTTTCTCACTCAAATTCTCAAGAACAAAGCAAATCTTTACGTTGGTCTGTAAACTTTGAAGAGATTAAAGTGGAATATGAAAAAATCCATGGCCATGATTATGATGGGATAAGTGTGAAGAGGAGGAAACATGATGGGATGTTTTTGGAAGGGAATGAGGAATAGGGTTTTGATTACATATACAGGAACTGAACTTTCATTGAGAGAGTGATTCATGGAAGAAGAGTAAGAGAAATGAATACTGAAATTAGGGTTAATTCCTTAATCTTTTAGATAGTGTGATTATGAATCTTCAATTTTCAAAAGTGGTATTCTGATCCTCAACTTATATTTACATCTATAAATCTAGGTCTCTTCATGAACGAAATCGTTCAACTTTTCAAGTAACTTGAAGTTGAAAGGTAAAACCGTCAAATAACTTAATATTTCTTTCTAGCTAAAATTCAAAGTTACTTGCGAGTTTAATATCAGTGTTTATTGTTTTGTCACGTGATTTAAAGATGACGGAACCTAAAATCTCAATTTTAAAAATTGATAACTCGTAATCATTCCATGTGAAATGTTGGGGAGCCTATCCCCTAATTTTTCCAAATTTTCTATTATACAATCTGTCTTTGGAAAATTATGAAATTTTGAAAGGTGGGGTGTTTGGTAGATGAAGAACTAAATTTTCAACTAATATATCATAAAATATTAATCAATCATATGATATATTTCCCCACGGTTCGGTAGCCAAAAGGTGATTGGCTGCATGGAAATGTCAACCAAGTGTTGCATGTTTGCTTGCTTAATTGCTAAGTTTATTTGGTGTCTAGGCTGTATCTCATTTTGTTTTGCTTTTTGCTTTTTTTTTTTTTTAATACCATTTTAATAATCATTAAGAAAATTTATCATAGGCAATGAATATAAACCGAGTGCTAAATAGTCTAATAAGTGAGTTTATTTGTTCATGGTAAGATAATCAGATTTTTATTCTCACTTAAATACGCAAATCGCCTCTTACCAATAAAGCGGGATTTTTTCATAATGTGGGAACCGTTATAATCCCAATAGTTCCGAGAGTTGAAGTAATTAAACTATAAATTCAATTATTTAATTATCAACATTGGATTAAAAATTGTGAGCATGGCTCAATCTAAGTGTTCTTAGAACATAAAGGGTCATATAGAAACAATTTAATAACATATGTTAGCTATAAAGAGATTATTAAAGGTGCTTTGATTTGGGAGAAAAAGAAAAGGAGAGGAAACAACTGAGAAATTATACTTCGAACTTTATAAAAGAAGATTATTCTTCTTTACAAATTGGCATTTACCTTTTTGTTTGCTGTTCACAACATGCACCAATGCCCTTTTAGTCCATTAATTTGTTGTCATGCCGTACTACATTGTGGTTTGGTGGGTCAAATCTTTAACTTTAATTTGGACATTTGAGCGAGTTTTCAGTCGTGCTGTAAAATATATCTAAATTGTGATTTAGATTCCTGAAGTAGTAAAAAACCTCTCCAATAGAGAAATGCCAAGGAATTGCAAATTACATTTTTTGACAAAAAAATCTGAAATAAATTTCATTTTCTTTCTTTCTTCTCTTTTTTTTTTTTTTTTTTTTTTTACATTTTTTGACAAAAAAATCTGAAATAAATTTCATTTTTTTTTCACATTCTCGATAGGTGAAAAGTAAATTTAGATCTTTTCATCGAAACAAAATTTGAACTTAAATTCATTGAGATGTAGATAAGGATGTAAAAGCGATTTTACAGATATCAATTTTACACCATCTATAGAGGTGATCTAATATTTCTAAGTTTTGATTGAATTTTAAGCATCATTTCACATGAATCTTGATCACGTGGTAAAGTTGAAAATTTTGTTGCCACAAGAAAAAATGATCGCATGATATTAAAAAGGTACGTGGACCCTTCTCACTTATGAAAACTAGGGGTACAAATAAAAATCGTCAAATCAAATTGAAACCGAGTTTTCAAAACAATTGGTTTGAATTCACGTGAACTTGTTATATGATTTCAAATCAAACCAAATACGACAAAATGATTTGGTTTAGATTTTTATATTTCAAGTAATTTGACTTATTTTTGAATTAAAAAATAATTTGACCTGTATCTTTACTTATAATCTAATTTATGTCAATAAAAAATTCACATATTATGTTGCTTGTGTGTTTAAAATTTTAAATATGCATTTACATGTCCATAATTTCTAAACCGTGGTTTAGTTTAAAATTTTATTTATTTTTTCAAATCAGCATATATGATTTCATTTGAAAATAAATTAAAAAAGGCTGCCCACTTACCTACTAAAAAATGATCCATGTAGCTTCCATGTTAAGCCCAATAGCTGAGAATCAGTTTAAAATGTTCGAGGTCCAAGCCGATATCTACGGATTTAATGCAACGCCTCGTATCATATTGTCCAAAGCCATGTGGGTCCCACAAGGTTTTCAAATTCCCCCACGAAATGCTATCTAGTCGAACTAGTGGTATTGAAAATCAATTTAGGTATCAGCATGTAATAGTTCCTAATAAATGAGTTATAAATCCCTGTATTTAATTGTACATATAATTTAATGACGCAAGTGCTATAATCTAGATCGATGTTAAATACTAGTAATACCGAATACCATTACTCTATCGAACCCATGCGATAATAGACAAGTTTATATGGGAAAAAATTTTATATGTGAAATAACGGGGAATTGACACGTGGATCCCAAACCGATGGGATTACTGTTAAAATGGCACCTAATCTTCAAATATAGGCACAATCATCCTAGCCTTTTCCTTAATAGGCCGAATTCGTCATTAATGTATTGTTTCCATTCAATTGACCATTAAAAATTCAAAATTTTGATAAAAAAATAATAATAATAAATTAAAATGCCCTTAATTTTTAGTTAGATAAATCGGGAATTACATAGTTCTTTAAATGATTCGTAAATGTGTGCTACTAGAAATAGCTTGCTCAAGGGACTTAGATTGTATGTAAACATAACCAAATTTCTTAATCAGTTCAGGTTATGAGAGAAAGAACAATGCCACAGGTACATAGTTTTTTGCTGAAAAATCTTATAGACAATACATGATGCGACACCATTGAAAGATAGAAAAAAAAGAAGCCAATCATATTTTGTCACATCAGTGTCGGTACAAATTCTGTTAAAATTTTTTTTGTGCCCATAGCTTTTTTGCGAGACAAGAGCTAATTCCAGAGAGTAATACTTGATAGTAAAATAGTTTGTTCATGGACCAAATCCCATTTTCAATTACTTTAACATTTTTTCGTCATAATAGTTTTTAACTCTGACAAACCTTATTTAATTTACTGTATATCTCTCTCTTACGAAAGACAGCTAAGCTTTACTTTGAAGTGTAGTACGTTTCTTTTCTTTAAATTTTATAAATAGTTTAAAAATGATATATGAATAATAAAGTTTAGTAGTTATAAATATTTTAAAATTAATGTTTAATTTGAACAGAATTTATAAATTATTTATAAATCTATATCTAAACGAAGACTAATAAAGGTCCGTTTGATTGTAAAGATGGAATTGAATTGAATTGAAAACGAATTTCAGTGAATTGAATTGCCTAGAAATTATTTTCTTGGGAATTGTAAATTATTGTGTTTGATTGGTATAATTTTTCACGCGAAAAATGTTGAAATAAAAGGATTTTTTGGTATTTATTTGGCTCTTTTTGACATGAAAATTATCAATTAAAGGGATAGATTTTACTAGTATTGGGGATGAAACTTGTTTCTATTGCAAATAATAATAATAATAATAATAATAATCAAGAAAATCATCTATCTTTTGATATTCGTTTGGTTTTGTTTTATATGGAAATTGTCAATGAAAGGAAAATATTTTTTTACAATAATTCTTAAAATTTGTTAACTTTGCCAAAAAAAAAAAATGAAAAAAAAATATATATGCCACGATAACTGGGAAAACCAATTCCCACCTTTCCTAAAAACCAAGAAAATTTTAAATTTCAAGAAAAGAAAGAACTTGAATTCCATGGAAAAATATATCCATCAAATACCTTAAATTTGAAAAATATTGTTGAAATTCCATTTTCCATGGAAATTTTTGGTATATCGAAAACACCCTAATACTAAAACAAGTTCACATCTACTTGTTGAAATATTTTCCCATTTTGTTTTTGATATCACAAAATTTTCCATGAAAAATGGAAAACAAATTCCATTTCTCACTTTTGACTTGTTTGATAGCCAAAATTTTCTAGGCAATTGGTTTTCTACCTTTGTCTCACACGTCTTGGGGAATTCATTTTCCCATGGGGTAGCTTGTTTTATGTTTTCCACCCTTTTTTTTAATTTTTTTTTTTTCATGTAAAACAAAACCAAACGAACACCAAAAATACTTTTATTTTAACATTTTTCACGTGAAAAATTATACCAATAAAACACAATAATTAACAATTCCCGGTAAAACAATTTCTAGACAATTTAATTCCTTGAAATTTGTTTTCTTTTCACCCAAATTCTATCTTTGCAATCAAATGGATACCAATTCTAATCTTAACATCATCAACTACCTGAAATCACTAGCAAATCTGTGGAGGGGGCAGTGAGTTCAACCATCTTTACTAAGATATGAAAATTTTATAAAAATGTACTACAGTTCCTCAGTATATTCTACTAAAAAATTAATAATAATAAAAATAATAAATAAATAAGAATTCTATAAAGTGTCCTCGCTGCAATTTGATTAGATAAAAATTTTCTGGCTCCGCTTCTACGTGAAATCTTGCCCTTCAACGTATAAACAACTCAATACATATAATATTAAAAATTTAATAATTGTACGTGCTATAGCCAAAGTATTTCCACCTTATATTATCTTACGATTTGATTACAATTTCTGACAAGAAATTAAAAAACGAAACAAATAAAACATCATATGAAAAAGTGAAATTCAGGTTTCGGTTTAACTTATGCTAATTCACTCTGTACCAATATTACTAGATTTAAATTTAATTTATGACAAGCCTCGTCAAGATTTTATATCGCATTTTCTTGATTTAAGCATTAATTGACACACTCGGTACAAATCAGCTGCATGCTGACTTTTATCTGTGTGTCAAATCACATTGAAATAATTCAGTAAATCGCATTGTTGAAAGTGATGAAAATCAACAGAAATATGCAAAATCTATGCCGCAGATCATGTCTACAGGGAATGAAATTATGCCAAGGGAAAACGATTCCAAGTCAAAGC